TTCTTTCAAGTTTAAGCATGCAGAGGCAGCGAAGCTGCGTGAACGATGATGGTAGCTGCTGCAGGTCCTTACACCCTGATAGATCCAAGTCACGCAACCTGGTTAATGCACAGATGCCATCGGGGATTGAGGTCAGCTTGGGTGCAACAACCTCTAACGATGTCAGGTGGTGGAGCTGTGACAATGTCTCTGGCAGCTCCCTAAGCTCTTTGAAGCCGAAAATCTGCAAATCCCGTAGCTGCTGCAAAGCCGAACCGATGCTTCGTGGGAGGGTCTGAATCATGTTAGCATCAAGGATACTCAAGATGCGGAGCTGAGAAAGTGATCCCAAGGGAATCGAAAACTCATGGACGTTGTCTGCCAAACCCAGTCCCAAGTGCCTCAGGCAAGGCGGCAGGGAGATGTGAGGCACTGAATCAGCCTGACCGTTGCCAAACCAAGACATAACCTCAAGCGAGAGTGGCAGCGACATGGGAAACTCACAGAGTTGACTGCACTTTGTTATCCTCAAACACTTCAGCTCCAGGAGGCTACTTAGCTTTCTTGGTAGCAAAGAGAGCTGCTGACAACCATCAACGATCAAGGTAACAAGGCTAGTGAGCCCTGTAATGGAATCTGGTATCTCCGTGATATCATCACAGTCATGAATGTAGAGATGTTGCAGGTTAGTCAGATTGTCCAGACCCTCGGGAAGCACTGTAACTGCACACTTGCCAATCTCGAGACTCGTTAGAGAAATCAGCTGCGCAAAGGAAGGGAAGAGCTGTTGCTTAGTGGAATGATGCAGGTGTAGAGTCTCGAGGTTCCTGAGCCACCCAATCCTCTCTGGAAGCGGCATCAGCCAACTGTTTTTAAAGTTCAGTGTCTTGAGAGATGCGAGGCTGCAGAAATCTGCTGGCAGCTGGTCCAACCAATATAAGTCATGCAGCAACAGCTTTTCCAAAGTTGTAGCTTGGTAGAGGGAGTCAGGTAGCTTGCGGAGATGCAAGTTCTCCAGCATCAGTGTCTTGAGAGCAGGGAGCTGTCCAAAGTCCTCCGGCAAGCAGCGAAGCCGATAGCACCTGATAATGGTCAAGCACTCTAATCCAGTTAGGGCTGTGATATTATCTGGGAGTTGCTCGAGCCGAGAACAATCACGAATGGTCAGCTGATGAAGGCAGGGGAACAGCTCTCCAAAGTCAGCAGGAAGGCTCTGGAGGTCGGCCGATTTGGAAATCACCAGCTCTTTCAGGCGAATGCACGGTGATCCTGTAGGGAACATTGAAGCGAAGCTGAGACTGGGAATCTGGGACTCAAGTAACTTGAGACAAGGTAGCTGGGCTACTGGGAAAATCGCAGCTGGTGGATCATTCTTGGGGAGGCAGGTTTCAGTGGAAATCGAGAGTCTGGCGAGTCTTGGAATGCGAGCGAGGCTTGACAACTGCTGATGTGTCAATTTGGAAACAATAATATGGAGGGATGTGAGAGAAGAAAGTTTTCCAAATCTGGGGAATGTCAAGGATGAAACGTTGCTTAGAGAAACTGTGTGGAGATGCTGCAGCTGAAAGAAAGAATCCGGTAAGTCAGTATCTTTATGGAGGCAGTGAAGTGTTATTTCCTCGAGCTGAGTGCAGTTGAGAAAGAACATCTCCAAACCGGCTTCAGTAACTGGATGCTCATCCTTGCTTCCTCCACACTCCGTCGGTGCGATCCCGCGACCCACGTGAAGAGCTTTCAGCTTAGGCCGTGACGAAGCAAGACGAGCGAGAAAAGCGTTGTCAATCATGTCGACACTGCCATCGCTCAGATGAAGATTCGTGAGGTTGTCGAAACAAGCGACAGCGCTGGCCAGATCTTGACAAGATACGAAGAGGTTCTCTTGGACCAACATGCTGGTGACCTGACGTTTAACTAGATCGCGCCAGCGATTGCATACGGACGCGATGAGCAGATTGTAAGCTGCATCTGCTGGTGAACTAAGCCTGTTCGACTTAAAATGCCAATCAGGAAGCGAGACGCATGAAGAATCAGAACCCTTTTCGGAAGACATCCCACCGTGAAACCATAAAATCCTCGTAAGAAGGTCATCTGGAAGTCGATCTATGTGCGAGAGACGCTCCATCTGAACTTATATAGATTGATAGAAGGGACTGAAGGTATGAAACGATTTCTCCTTCACAGCTAAAATGACGAGATCTCCTTCTCCTGAGCTAAAAGTCGCTCATATACGAAACAAAAAAAGCACCACCCGCATGCTGACCTGTGATTTGGAAGTAGGCAAGTAGGTACCTGTGATGCAGTAGGAGCTAATCTCACTCGAGAATCCAGATCCTTTAGGCCTTGTCGAAGCTGGGTATTAGGCTGAGAGCTGTTTTACCTTGCTTTCGAATCCCCCATGACTAAGGCTCGCTTGGCTTCGAGGGATCACCTTCAGGCAGCCCAAGCAGGGCGAATCTGACTAGACTTCGCGCTGGAGATGCATTCAGTTGACAAGGCTTGGGAAGCGAAATTCGGAATCAAGGCGTGTTCATTATTTGGATCTATTGACAATGTTTCACATGTGGGCGCAATTGTGAACCAAAATGCAATTTGCGACGCACTGGGGCGGAAACAAAGCAGCAGCCCAAACTAGACTTTGGCTACGCGTCGGTTTGCGTAATCGCGCCCTTGCTGGTGTTTCAGATTCATTCTAGCCTCGAGCAAGAAAAGCAGTTGCTCAAGGAACGCAGTCGAAAATCAGCTGTTTGGAAAGGGTCACGGGATCAATGATTGGAGGTATCTTCATCCTCGCTACTGAGCAGCCTTCCTTATCTTCAGACTATGTTAAACCGAAATAAGCATTTATAGAACAGAGGCTAGAATAATCATTGGCGTGTCACAACGATACGTATTTACAAAATTTAACACTTTTTATGAAAATAGGAAAGTCGAAATACCCCTCCCCCCCCAGTATGTTTAGTTCCTTTTGGAGGCTTTTCTCGTTCATTTTCACCATACTTGAAAACATACGTGATGGCTCTATATCGATTCATGTAGCGAGCTGCCCAAATTCGTGATTCTCGTCGTGTGTCACCTCACCACGATGTGGGCTTGTGTGGGGGTGAGTCAGAATCTTCCCGAGAAGCGCGACGGGGGGGAAGCACCAGCATGTCCACGTGTGCAATTAAAAGATCTGCGGTTCGCTGGCCGCACTCGCGAACAATATTCCCCCTCTAACGAACACTACCAGGTATTTTCCCATATTTTTTAGCCGTCCGATTTCACCATCGTGCCGCTCTTGTTAATCGTGTCAGATGGTTTCACAGCCCGTACCGCAACAAGCGAAAACGAGCCGCGGATTCTTTGGAATATCATTTTTCCTCATCTTCCCAACAAATTTCATTTACGAATTGGCACAGCATCCAGTTCCGTGACCCCCCTCAGCAAAGACGAACCATGTCAGCAAGCTAGAACTGGTTTTGACAGAGCCAGACCTCACCATCCAACGTCGTACAACACACGTCACGCTCCTAAGTCTGGACCTTGTTCGTGGTAGGTCCGTGCTGCCTTTGCCTGTCGTTACGGCTTCTTTGCATAGTGAGCTTGCGCTCTCTTTAGTATACCCCGCAACCGACCAACAACCGCCAGACAAGGGCAGGCACGAAGTCATCGTAGTCGTCCCATATTGCTTACACCATGACCGTGGTAATGTTGCCCCTGACAGAAATCACTTGTCACTATCAGGCGCTATTAACGACATTGCTTATCTAGCGCCCTGCGGCTAGCTGGCCGTAACCTCCAAGTTCTAAGGCTTCCACCAACGTTTGGATCAAAACTTCAGAGGCGCCGCATAAAGTATTCACTAGATTGGAACCAGATTACTACGTACAATACTTGTTCACAGTAATGGCTACCGTAGCCGGCGGGAGGTCGTGGGCCCAAGATATATTATTATCCGCAGACCCGCCGCCCAATGGTGAGCTGGCCAAGGACCTCGCTACAGCGGAAGCAGCTGATGATGGCCTTGCACGAGGTTGCGGGCAGATTAACATCGGGATGCGGCACGTAGCAGCGACCAATAGCGCAACCGCTAGAGAGCCGATTCGCTGCGCGCTTGCGGCAGATGATTTAGTTGCTAGAGATCAGATCCGATGCGCGCCGTATCCCATGCTCGGGGGGCGCGGGCAATCGACTACACGGCCGCTGCAGTTTCCCTGCGATCCTGAGTCGGATGAGTCGCCAGACGACTCTGCGACGACGTCGTCATCGTCGTCGGCGTGCGATCATGCAGAGGCTGGTCGCGATTGCGACCCCGGGAGCGGAAGCGGTGGAGGGATGTGCGACACGGGCGAAGGTTCTTTTGCGCCTTGTGGGGTTACATCTGTGTTACGATTTCGTAACCTTTCGCACTCTGTCGCATCGAAAGCTCGGAAGAACGCGTGCTGTAAGATCAACTCTTCGAAAATCGCGCCGCTGCCTAGCGACGAAAGCGCGGCGAGTGACGAAATTCACATACACGTCGACGCTGGTCGCAATGGTAGTGGCTGTAGTACCGATAATCTCAAACCCGTAATCAGCCATTCAGCAGCAAACATAGGGCGGACAGCCCACGATTCAGACAGGTTTTCAGGTTCTGGCAGCAAGCTACGCTCTTTGGAGCGCTCGATTTCCAGGCGAATTGGCGTGAGAAGTAATTCCAGCCGTAGGATTCTCGTCGACATCAGCGGCAGCGCAAAATCGGGGCAGATCACAGCGATCATGGGAGCGAGTGGAGCGGGGAAAACGACGCTGCTGAACATCTTGGCGTGCCGCATAGCGTCGGGTCGGCGAGCGGGCGAAGTGGAGCTTGACGGGTTACCCGTGCGAAGCGGAACGATGCGACGAGTTTCGGCGTATGTGATGCAGGACGACCTCATGTTCCCGTCGCTCACGGTACGTGCGACATATAGTCGTCCTTTCGTGACATTTTGATCGCCAAAACACGGCCTAATTCTTCGTCACCTTTTTTCGCGGCGTGTGGTAACCAGGTGCGCGAAACGCTGATGTTCGCCGCGGAGCTTCGCCTGCCGCAGAGCGTGAGGCGGGAGGAGAAGGCGGCGAAGGTAGCGCGGTTGCTCGAGTTGCTGGGATTGGCAGAAGTGGCGGAAACGAAGATTGGGGATGAGGGACAAAGGTAAGGAAAGACTTTTGGAAAAGTGCCTGTCACGATCGTCAGGGATCATACGAGAACCCTTGGATTCAGTCTTGGTTCTTTGCTGGGATTGGCAGAAGTGGCGGAAATGAGGAATTTACCATTTTCTCGGTACTTTTTTGGGGTTGCAATCCAATTTCAGGGGCGTGTCTGGTGGCGAGAGGAAGCGCGTCGCGATCGGCACGGAGATCATTTGCGACCCGAAGATTCTCTTTCTCGACGAGCCCACGTCGGGGCTCGACTCGACGAGCGCGTTCCGCGTGGTGCGGGCGATTAAAGACATCGCGACCAACACGAACAGCATCGCGGTCATGGTGCTGCACCAGGTACGACCGTGTTTCCTCTTCCACGTGCTCGGGACAACCACTACCCTTATCCCGACACTCTCCCCCTCCCTTCCCCACATCCCCCTCCCTATCCCCCATTCTCCTCACCTTTCCTTTCCGCCAACCAACCCCCCCTTTTTCTCCCCCTCCCAGCCCAGCTTCCGCGTTCTCGGCCTCGTAGACCGCCTGATCCTCCTCGCCTCGGGCCACGCCGTCTTTCACGGCGCGCCTCCCGCGCTGCCGCGCTTCCTCGAGTCGGTCGGGTTCCCCGTGCCGCAGTTCGCTAACAGCACCGAGTTCGCGCTGGATCTTATCGAGGATATGCAGCGGTCGAGCCGCGGTGTCGCGGATTTGGTGGATTTTGCGCGGGTATATGAGAGGCAGCAAGAGGAAGAGGAGCAGCGGGAAAGGAAGCTAGGGAAGCTGGGAGAGGAGGCTGCGCTGCGGTGTAACCCTCAATCAGAGGGTGTTTTACAAATGCAGGGCCTGAACACAGAAGCAGCATCGCCGGAAAATGCAAGAACGGGAGGAGCGGCGACTGCAACGGCGAGTTTTTGGAACTCCAGATATTTCCAACTTCCGAGCGCGCTAAAAGAGAGAGGCAGTAACGAGGATGTGGAGACGGGCGTTGCGAATCGGGATGGCGAAAGCGGGAAGGCTACGTGGTGGGGGAGAATAGGGGCAAGGGGGAAGACGCGGCGACGGGAAAGCGGGGCTGACGAAACGCGAAAGTATGGTAACGGATGGTTCGCAGAACTGGCGGTGCTGACGAGACGGAACGCCCTGATCACGTTCCGCACACCCGCGCTGTACCTTCTGCGACTGGGCCTGATTGCTATAACGGGGATAATGCTCGCAACGATCTTCTTCCAGCCAGACGATAGGTACAGTGAAACTGCTAAAACTCAAGCTTGGATTGAAGTAATGAGAAGGTATAACGGAGTGAGTTCAAACGAAGGACCTTGGGGAATCAGAATTTGAAGAGGTATGAGAGAGCTGGAGAAAAACGCGAGAAAAACAGAGAGCTAGTTTTCCAATCTCCCTCTCTTCCCTTGCCTCCCATCCATGCCCATGGCCCCACCCCACCCCACCCCACCCCACCCTTTACCAGCATGAAGGGCTTTCAGGAACGTCTCGCATTTTTCTCCTTCGCCATCTGTGTGCTTTTCTTCGTCTCCTGTGATGCCGTTCCCATCTTCATCCAGGTATGTGTGCTGTCTATAACTTTCATGTCCTTCCTATTCCCATCCCACGCCATGCCATCCCATACCATGTCATCTCATACCATGCCATCCCATACCATGCCATCCCATACCATGCCATCTCATGCAATGTCATCCCATGCCATGCCAACTCATGCCATTCCATCCCATGCCATGCGTCCTCCTCTCCCTCCGCCCCCTCTCAGGAGCGAAACATCTTTCTTCGTGAAACAAGCAGCAGCGCCTATCGCCCGTCCACCTACCAGCTCTCCTCCACGCTCGTCTACCTGCCGCTGCACCTGCTCACCCTTTACCTCCTGCCTTCTCTCTCCACCTCTCCCCCTCAACCCCCATCCCCAGGAGCGGAACATCTTTCTTCGAGAAACAAGCAGCAGCGCGTACCGACCATCCACCTACCTGCTCTCCTCCACGCTCGTCTACCTGCCACTGCACCTGCTCATGGCGCTCACGCTCGTGCTCGAGGCATGGTGGTGCCTGGGACTGCAGGGTGGGGCACAAGGCTTCTGCTTCATGGTTCTCGCGTGTTTTGCGATGCTGTTTACCGGGAATGCCATCGCCACGTGTGTCAGCATCTGCGTCAACCAGTGAGTGTGGGGTCAACTTTTCTCCCACCCTTCTCACAGCATCTGGCCTACACAGCAGTAGCGATCGCTCTCATGACAGACTTTGCTCTCTCCTCATCAATTTCCTTCCCTGCCTTCCTCCCCTCCCCTCTCTGCAGCGTTGTGCACTACCTCTCGCCCTCAATTCCCTTCCCCTCCCTGTTCCTTCCCCTCCCTCCCTGCAGCGTTGTCCTGGCCTATGCAGTGGCCATAGCTCTGATGGCATACTTCGCTCTGCTCAGCGGGTTCTACATCGACAGGGAGAGCATCCCGGACGGCTGGGTCTGGCTGCACTACCTCTCGCCCATGAAGTATGCGTACGAGGCGCTGGCGATCAATGAGTTTGGCAGGTGAGGAATCGGCATTACTTTTCACTTCACTTCACCATCACTTCACTTCACAATCTCCCACTTTTCACTATCTTTCCCCACCATCTCCCACTCCTAACCATCTTTCCCCACCGTCTCCCACTCCTCACCCCCTATTCCGATCTCCATTCCTCCCTCACCTTACCAGGCCCGGAGGTCCCTGTTACTTGAAAGCTGGCACAATGTTTGATAATACACCTGTGGCGCCGTATCTAAATGCAACCAGAATCAACAAGGCCATGATGGGGATGCGGCAGGTGCTGGCTGGTACTCCTTATAGCAAAATCACTACAAGCACGTGTTTCCGGGACGGGCCGCAGCTGCTAACGACTACACTGGCGGTGAATCAACTCGACATGTGGGAGAACGTGGCGGTGCTGTTGGGTTTTGGGGTGTTTGTGCGGTTTGTCACATTTCTGCTCCTGGTGCGGTTCAGTAAAGCTAAGCAGCAGTGAGAGGCTGATGTGTTTATGCGCTATGTGACAAGCATTGTAACATTAACATAATTATTGCGCGAAGTGGAATATGCAGCCAAAGGACATTGAGCGGTTGTAATTCCCGAGTATGTACCAGTAATAGTGAGCCCTACGATTCATTATAGTTCATTCGGTTCTTCTACCGTATAAGGAGAAGGGTGATAATTGTGAGACCAAATTAAAAATATAGCCACTCAACAGAAAAAAAACACACAAAAGTGGTTGTCTTGGGTCGACTCTAGAGGACAATAACGAAGCGTCCATCACCGAGTCTCTCAAAAAGTCGACCAAAGACCCCACGCGAACAAAACCCCACATCCCCCCCACCCCCACTATTCCGCCTTCCCCCCTCCCATCTAAACACCATCCCAATTGTCCCCTCAAATGCCGCTTTCCCCCAAAATGCTAGCCTTCACTCCTCTCCGTGATCTACGCTTGAATGAAAGTCGCCTCCACATTTCACTTGAGTTCATAGCATCTCTCTAGTAGCCACCACCACGCCCACCACGGCCACCAGCGCCACCAGCGCCACCAGGGCCATCGCCGTCACCGTCAGGCCCGTTACCACCACGCCCGTGACCGCCATGCTTGCCGAAGTTCCCCGTGAGCGCGGCGCTCCAGGAGTTGCCGGTCGTGCTGTCGGTGAAGATGACAGCGTAGGGCGAATCAGTCGTCGTGTCGGTGGTCCCGATGAACGTCGCAAACAGCGCCTTGGTCTTCGCGCCCATCCACGCCAGGCGCTGGCGCTGGCGCTTAAGGAACTGCTGCGTCAGCTTCCCCGCGCTGTTCACCGCGAGCTCGCGCCCGCGGCGGCGTCCGCCGAAGGCGTTCTGGAAGCCCTGCTTCGCGCCGTTGATCACCTTGGTGAACGCGTTCTGCGTCACCGTCGCGTTCGGCACACCCGCGAGAATCGCCTCGACCACCGTCGCATCCGCGCCTTCCACGGTGCCTGTCACGCGCAGCTCCGTGTGCGACCCGCCGCGCCCGCCGCGCGTCTGGGTGGTCCAGCCGGTGGACGGCAGAGTGAGGGCGGCGGTGGCGGTCGAGTCGCACGCCGCACCTTGCACGATGGTGAGCGTGTCGGGCGCGGTGCCGCTGTACTCGTCAAGATCGGCGTCGAAATAGAGGTTGTAGACGGGTGTGCCCGACGACTCGTCCTTAAAGACCGCAAGCAAGAACTTTCCGCGAGTCGCGCCGATGTCCGCCGTGCAGTTGGAAACCCACGCGCCCACGCGACCTGCGGATGATGCAAAGGGGGGAGGGAAAAGAAGGGGGGGAGGTGGGGGAAGAAGGGGAGGGGTGGGGGGTTCGGGGGAGGGGAAGAAAGAAACCAGCGGACGTTTTTAGTTAACGGAAATTATGGAAAAAGGTATTCGGGATCGTTTTGACGGAAACAACGAATCTGACGGACGATGCGTGCTATATGGTGCATTCGTCGCACCTGTGAGATTGCCGGTGACGGACGCGTCGATCGGCGGGCCGTGCGCGCCCCTTCCGCCGCGGCCTCCGCCGCCGTGACCGAGAACTGCAGGCAGCGCAAGAAAAAAATACGACATCGGATCGGATGTTGTAAGTTCACGCGTTGAAAGCCGTCATGACACATTGACACCCGAAGCAACACGTTTGACATTCAAGGGAAGGGAGCGCTGGCAACTACTTGATTCGAACAAGGACGGCGAGGGTAGTAGGGGTCTACCCTGGACCAATTTAGTCGACCAGTTTTTCTAAGCAACGAGCATACCAGGCGCGACGAGAAGCAGGACGAGGAGAGAAAGAAGACCGGCGCGCGTCATCGTGTCTGATGATTAAAGCAAGTTACGCCAGGAATAGTCGGTCGTAGAAACTGCTGTTAGACGTGTGCGGTGTATGTAGATGCTGAAATGTGTGTTTTGCTGGTGAATGGGAATGGGTCGAGTGGTATTTGTGCTATACGCTTGGAGCGCATTCCCTAGGTGGATGGCATGCGGGCAACCATGGTCGCGCTGCGGAGCGGACAGAAAGGGGGAATTCGAGGGGGTCGCGGTCCGCGGAGACCAGCCCAGCCCAGGAAACTTTTGGAAGCATTTCTTTCTCCAAAAGGTCGTTGTTTTTCAGCACAGCAAAAAGTTTGTTTCTGCATTTCATCTCTGCCCGACATTGGCCAGTTTTCTTTCAACTACCGCGAAGAACAGATAATATACATTTCTGTAGATGGTACAAACCCTCACAATCTTCATGTTTGGGGTTCGATGTGCACATATATTGGGCAGGGGAAGAATGACGAAAGTACATCAGAATGCGCCGACCATTTTTGACTGGTCAGCGGAAGGAATTCCACTGGTCATGTGGACAAGACAACCTGGCAACAGCTGTCAGGTCACGACGAATGAGCGAATTTCAACGAGTTTCGCGAGGTCTCTCTCGCAGTACAATACGAATTCTGCATCACGAGTCACGACTTCCGCACTGCCTCTACATTGCGAAAGCATGTCTCGTGTCTGGTCATCGATTTTCCCGTGTCGTGAGTTCGTTGAGAGAATCTCTGTTCACACTCCAGGTTTGTGGGTGGATTGCACATACTATACCCTTTAAAGAAGAACTCGAAGGCGCGCTTATAGGCAACGAGTACAGTGTTGTTCAGATAACCTCAACTCCTTTCCTGGGTGGTGATAAGCTTTTCATTCTATGTCATCTATTTTGCTGTTGGTGTGTGTTCAGTCTGATACATTAGAGAAAGCTCGTACTCAGCGACAGCGGCATGTGGATCAGCTACCACCACTGACTGCATGCCATGTGAAAAGGCAGTAGTAGCTCTTGTTCATATTTCAAGTGTAACAAATCATGTTCATGCTGCCCCTAATGTTCCAGCTGGGACTAGTACTGACAGCGCTAGCAACCACAGGCAGCAATGGCAGTAACAAGGGGTGCCCTCACTTCTTCCTCTGCTCCGTCCCTCCCCTCCGCACCATACTTCAAAGCATCACCAGCACCAATACCACCACCATTTCTCCCATCATCCCCATCCTCTGTTCCTAAGAAATGCTAACCAAACTCCTCCATCCCCGATCCCCAGAACCACTCTCAACTCCTTCCTAATCCCGCAGCAACCTCCCACCCCTCCCAACCCATCACGATGCCTCAAAAGCGTCACCAACACCATCCCTCATCATCCCTCCCAGCGTCCCCCTCCTCTGTGCCAAAGTACCTGTCTCCAAACTCACCCATCCCCGACCCTGCCCAGCACCGCTCTCAACTCCTTGTCAGTCCCTGCCGCAACTTCCCACACCTCCCAACCCATCAAGACGCCTCAAAAGCATCGCCATTGTCATCCCTCTCATCATCCTTCCCAGCGTCCCCCTCCTCTGTGCCAAAGTACCTGTCCCCAAACTCGCCCATCCCCGGCACCACTCTGTACTCCTCGTTAATCCCCGAGTCGATCTCCGATGTCACGATCTTGAGCTGGGGAAAGCGCCGACACACGTTGTGAATGCCCTCTGGCGCCTGGGGGAGGGAGGATGGTTAAGTTGGGTTGGGAATGTGGGGTTGAGGGAGCAGGGACGACAGAGACAGGGATGCTGAGGTGGAGGAAGCGCCAACACACATTGTGAATGCCCTCTGGCGCCTGGGGGAGAGGAGGGGTGGGGGGGGTGGGAGGAGTAAGATAATGAGGGAGCAGGGAGAAGAGGAAATGGAATGGCAGGTGGGAAGAGGCAGGGATGTTGAGGTGGGGGAAGCGCCGACACACATTGAGAATGCCCTCTGGTGCCTGGGAGGGGGAAGACTGGTTGGGTGTAGTGTAGGGTACAGAAGGGAATGGAAATGGAGGTGAGCAATGGAAGGGTAGAGTGGGAAGAAGACGCAGGGACCTTCAGGTGGGAGAAGCGCCAGCACACGTTGTGAATGCCCTCGGGTGCCTGGAGGGGAGAGGGGGGGTGAGTGGGGCAGAATGGGAGCATGGAAGGAAGGGAAATGATTCTTGAGGCGGGGGAAGCGCCGACACACGTTGTGAATGCCCTCTGGTGCCTGGAGGGGAGAGGGGGGGTTGGAGCGGGGGAGGGTGGGAAGGAAAGGGGTAGAGTGGGAGCAGGGAGGACAGGTGAATGAATGTTGAGGTAGGAGAAGCGCCAACACACATTGTGAATGCCCTCTGGTGCCTGGGTGAGGAAGGCGGGATTGGAGGGCGGAAGGAAGGGAAGGAGGGGGTAGGGTGGGAGAAGGGAAGGCAGGGAAAGGACTGTTGAGGTGGGAGAAGTGACGGAGTGACGACATACATTGTGACGACAAGAAAACAGGGAGAGAGAGAGAGAAGAGAGTGAGGGCTAAGGAACATCACAGCTGGTTAATCTCTTCACCACTGAATACTGTTCTGCATTCCGCCTAATAATATGATCGAGATAATAAAATCTACTCTCTCCACCACTTATCACCGCTCTGCACCCGTCCTGATAACTCACCGAAATGAGGTTGAGGAAGATGATTCGCTCCTCAGGCACCCCTCGGTGCAGCAGCAGCTGGGGTAGCGGCTCTCTGCACCACTGATTACCGCTCTGCACCCCTTCTAATCATGAACTCACCGAAATAAGGTTGAGAAAGATGATCCTCTCTTCAGGCACCCCTCATTGCAGTAGCTGTGATGAGAAATAACCGAATTGGCTGCCCTTTTCACCACTGATTAGCGCTCTGCACCCCTCCATAAACTCACTGAGATGAGGTTGAGAAATATGATTCGCTCCTCAGGCACCCCTCGATGCAGCAGCAGCTCGATGGCTTTGATGGCAGAGCGACCTGAAGGAGGAGAGAATAGAGGGGAGTAGCAAGAGAGAATAGAGGGGAGTAGCAAGAGAGAATAGAGGGGAGTAGCAAGAGAGAATAGAGGGGAGTAGCAAGGAAGCAAGGCAGAGGATGAAGAGGGTAACCACGATGGCTCAGTCCATCCACCCACCCCTACCATCCCTCGGTGCAGCAGCAACTCGATAGCCTTGATGGCAGAGCGGCCTGGA